AGATGTAAATCAATTAGGCATTCTTTCTTTTACACTTCTTTTCATTGATTTTATGAATTAAGTTAGTTGCTACACTAAGCTTTATTCACTCAATATACAGCCTAACAGTCCATGTCCACCGGTTCTGGCTCCGGAGTCCATCTGCTGACATTCAAGCCGGTGTAGTAATGTCTTTCTTATAATAAAATGTAACTTTTCACTGTTTTGGTTCTATTGACATTTAAACAGTATCAGTGTGTAACAGTATGTACCATCATGGTCATATAAAAAACTTTTACATTATAGATTTAAGGTATATCACCTGACATTGAACCCTTTAAACTCTGAAACAACACAGGTCTCCATAGAAATACGCTGTACAGTATCTGGTCCCTCTTCTGCAGAAACTGACATTATATATAATGTATCTGGAAATCCAAATCTTGCTCCATAGAGATTATGTACAAAATCACTTTCATATGCTTTTTCATGTTGCACTGAATCCATGACTTTAGGCTTTTCAGCTTCAAAGGTAACACACATGTTGTATAATCACACAGCTTGTAAATACTATAAAGGGTTTATTGACAATTAATAAGAAAATTTTAAAAATGTGACCCCTTGATTAAACTATGAAATAAGTAAATGGTTGTAAATGTAAATCTTTTTTTTTTTTTTTTATGAAAACACTGAATAAAATTAAGAAATAGTGTAAACGTGGAGGCCGGCGTTATTTGACAGCATTCATATATATGGGATAAAGTCATCATCGCTGCCATTTCATGAACTGAACTTGGAAAGAGACGCAACTACACAAACCCCCAACCCCCAACCACCAACCTATGACCACAGGACCAGCGACTGAACTCAGCTGTTTCTCTTCTTGACATGGACAAGGTAAGTATATGAATCCTCTGAAATCATCAACAAGACTTTTCATTATTCCACTTGGTTTGGCAATTAGCTCGTTGGCTAACATTAGCCGATAAGATTATCAACTTCACTGTAAATTTCAGTGTAAATAACTGAAATAGACAAAAAGACAAAACACATTCTTTAAAACCTTTTTTTGTTGTTGTTTTAAAAAGAGGGTGCATTGTCAAGAGATATATACTATATGGCCTAAAATTCATAGTGTGACAAACATTTGTAGAATTTATTTTTAATTTTTATTATGATACTTGATGATACATACTGTTATATACTGATACACACAGTCTGAATTATGGAAAAAAAATTAAATTAGTTAATGTTATCAATTACAACAACTAAAAAGGTGTACAAACTAGCCAATAATATTTAACATCAATTGGAAAAGACAGAGCTTGATGTTGACTTCCTGGGAAATGTAGGAAATCTCTATCTGGATGAGACAAACTAAAGGAGTGTACGTACACCACAGAAGTAACTCCTGGAGCACTGTGAACATCACAAATCAATGATATTAGTTACTCCTCTGTCCTATCTTGATCATACGTTCAGTTATAGATTGATCCAACTCTACTGCACCAGTCTGAAAGAG